CTACCGACTACATATATCATGGCTGCACTCAATACCCTAGTTCTAAGTAAACTTACACATAGTTTAATATGTGCTACATACCCAGTTGATTTGAAAAGACAGCTCGTTAAGATGTTAAAATAAATTCTATTATACAATCATTTCATCTATAACTGATGTATGCAAAAATTGAATGTGTGTCACGAGACTTTACGATTAGCTATAGGACATTCCTTCAGTTAGTATACCGGTAAATACAGCATGTCGCGAGATGCAAAGTACGTGTTATCCAAGTAGGATTACAGGATTTCAAACTTAGCATAAATATTTATAATGTATATTATTTACGTGGCTGCTATTCTTATTCAAATTTCGTATCTGTACCTAATATCCATCTAGCACTAAGATCTTGAACGCACCTCTGACCTGCCCTCTATAAATAATGATAATTATGTAAACACATGGGTTATATAATGCCTTTGCAAGGGCTACTATTGTTGACCTAATTTATCTCCTTGTTCTAATATGCTTCCTTTTAAAGGTGATTATATATAAATCATATATTTTAATGTTGTATATTATGTTCTCAAAATGACGAACTATATTACGCGGAGTGATACATAATATAGCGGCGCTGAGCAATTTATGTAACTCTACTGAGCCGTCTAACAATCCCCGACACTCTGTCCGCTACTTTAGTGTAGGAGTTATCATAATAGGTGTTTATAAATTGGTACAGTTGATATTAATATGTACGGAAATCCTGCGGTAGGAATAAGGGCGGTTCTTATCTCTGAACAATATGGAGCGTATTAATAAGTATACGGGCAAACACTCATTATGTCACAAATGTACATGTAATCTCTGTAGTGGTTATTCGAAAAACTAATGACCATGCATGTTTATATGTTAATACAAATACCGAAAAGATTTATGCGCACATGTATTTAAGTCTCATTAAGCTCAAAATAGCAATGAGTATTAAAAATTCAAATTGTAATTAAATCTTTTAGAAGCATAATTTCATTAAAAATTATTTATTAAACTAGCTTCTATATCTAATTTGTATCTACATTTTGTAGTTTCGTTACATAATTTTTCATTCCCTCTTCTGCATAAGCTTTTATTTCAAACAATGTAAATTTTATACAAACGAGGATTTTTATTATCACACTTATCACACTTAAAGGTGTGTTCCCATTTCGCCTTTACTGTGAAATCCAGGTAAGAAAAAGTTAAAAAGTACTAAAGGCGAAATGGGAATTTTAGCATTTGTAATTATTACTGGGTTGATATAAAAATTTAAATGATAATTTTTTTAACATTGAATTTAACAGTTAATGGGAATTTATGAATACAGTGAATGAAATGATAAATGTAATACCCCAAAATACTTGATGCTAATATATATTCAATCTTCATCACATTATTTCACCTTAGCTTACTAAGGCGAAATGTGAATGCTAAGTTTTAAACTAGGGCGAGATGGGAACAAACCGCATTACACAGAGGGCAATCAATTATAATGATTTCACAGCATCACATTATCTTTTAGCAGTACAAACTTGAACGCATTTATATAGAGTCTATACTTGTTTTGTTCTTTTTATTTGTAACAAAATATTTTGATGCAAAAAATCCATTTCACTGAACGATTGGATGTTAAAAAACTGACTGAAGCATTTTTTAAAAAGTATTTTCGCCAAAATGAGTTCAAGAAAAATACAAACAAACTTCAATGTGATTTTTTTTTCTAAATAGAAGAGTATGTGATTTAATATTTTTATTTAAAAAAAATGTATTGTCAATTCTGCTTCAAATATAACACAAGAAACAGAATGGCCAAGTTTTTTTTTTAATTTCGGTAAAAATAAATTATAATTCATGTGTGAGAGAGTCAGAGATGAAGGATTACGGGTAATTGTGGACAGGAATCCCCCTTCATATTGTACACATGATGAATATTTAAGTGTAATAAATATAATTTGTTAAGAAAAATGTTAAACAAGCCCTGGGGTTGAATATATCAAGGGGGAGGGGCGTGTTCACAATTATAAAGTCTTCGGGGATTTTTGTTACATGATGATAGCAACATGCTGCACGAGGCTGGATTGGTATCACAATAAATGTGAAATATTGAAAAAATATTATCATATTATTCAAGTGTACAGTACAGGCAACGCGGATCCCGTATTAGACCGCGTCCCCTCCGCGGTGTATTAATCCTTTCCGCGTTACACCGTCGCGGGTTTTGATCGCGGTGCTACCTGAGACCGTGTTTACACCGCGGCGGGGCCCGCTACCGTTATTCTTCAGCTTAGATGTTCTTACCTGTAAAGCATTGTCGATTTTTAATCGTGTCGAAATGAGGGGGGGGGGGGGGAGGATTACGACCACATTAATATTAATAGATTTATACCATTACATGGATTCTTTAAAAATTCATTATTAAGTTTTATCAAATTGTTTAATAAAAAAACATCTTTCTTTTTTTTTTTTTTTACCAATGGTCACTCAAAAGTAAATATTTCTCAAAAACGTCTGTTAACAGTTATACATGTACAGTATAGGATGAAATAAAGTCGAATAATTTATCGAATATATTAACTTAAAAGTTTATTTTCAAAATCAATAATGTCACTCCAAATGATCTTCAAATTGCTAAAAAGGTATAATTAAAATTTAAAGAATGCCATGATATCGCTTCTCTTTATATGCACTGTAATCCGGTGTTCACAATTAGCCCGTGCAGTTGCAGTTACATGTAGCTATGTGTTTATTTATCTGCGAGATTATATCAGTCATTTGGTTTCATTTAGAAAAGTACCGTTACTTCTGTATTCATGTCTGTTATAAATAATAGCATGAAAAACGATGATAGAAAGTGATACATAATTACAATTAAATTTTAACAAAACACGCCTAAGTGTAGGAATACCGTTGCTCATTATTATGCGCTACACTGTAAGACTATGAACTAAATATCGACGATTTTTTTTGGGGAGGAGGGGGGATTCTTGTTAATAAAATAATCACAGGTATTTCTATTCAGAATATCAATAATATCATAGCTAGTATTTGAATGTATTTCTATTTTCTGCTCTTTTCGAAAATTACTAAAATCATGTTTAAGAACATAAACAAATTTCAGATTTCTCCGGTTCAAATAAAACACAAACACAAATATGGGCCCTTAGAATATTTGAACACACAACACAGAAATTAACTTATTTTAATCAGCAATTGCAAGTTGCCATGCTTCAAGTTTTCAGATGTCTGTGTAACCGTTCGGTTTTCCTCAGGTAAGTTTGGTGTGGAGTGGAGCTTACTCGAAGCGGATGAGAAGCCCGGAGGGAACGACGCTGTCTAGTGGATCATAAACAAGTCTCTCGATAAATGACAATAAAACTTAGACAAATTCCACAAATGGTCAATAAACTGATAAATCAGCGGGAGTTTTATTCGCTGGACTTAAGAAACTGATATACTGATCAAAAAGGAGGAAAAACGATCATGCATGTGCCTTAATATTGTGATATTTTTCTTCTCTCTCTCTCTCTCTCTCTCTCAATCTTCTAACTGGTACAGATATAAACAGACACGAAATAACATAGTAATGGATCATTATTTGATTTAATTAATATCAAATACATCATTAATTTGTTTTAAAAGTTTTTTTTACTTTAATTCTTTTTATACACTCCGTTTAAAAAAAAGCAACAATAATATGACATAAATTCCAAGACTAATATCGCATCTGAAAATGATATCGATGAAATAATAATGAAACAATGAATCAAATGTGTTGTTGAATGGCTAGACAACGATGTGCACATCCAGCGAGCGTTACCCAAGGTATACTATAAGACAGGTGTGAAATCCCCAGGGCATGTCGTTTCCTGCTCAGGCACTGCTAATCCCTATACACAGGAAATGATCGCGGCAAATACTTAATACACAAGGAAACAGAATTTGTCAAAGAAAACAAAAATATATGAATTTTTGCATTGAATATTTATTAATATAAACTATAATTTCGTCTGTGAAGTTTATCATTACACCTGCACATCCTACCTTATCTATTGAACACGAAAATCGAGAAATATTAAAATTAAAAAGAAAGACATTGTATTAGAAAGTAAAACATGTTTATGTGAAGGTGAAAAACGATATTTTTTTTGATCTCTTGTATAAAGTTCACGTGCTCAAAGTTAACTCTCGTCATCGAATGCTTTCCGGTCATTTGACAATTTGAGAAAAATGCCTGCACATTTATATAAAAGAGGGAAATACATTAAAGAAAATTAATTAATTAAATTAACTTAATTTGGGAACAGAACATAAACGATGAGAAATAAAGAAGAATAGAACTTTTTCTTGATATCTTGGATAAAGAAAATCTAAGTCCACGTGCCCACTACATGTAACTGCAAATGCTCGTCATCGGATGTTTTCCGGTAATATGACACTTTAAGAAAAAGCCTGTACATTTTATATACAATAAATCGAAATCAATTAATAAACAATATGAAGATGTACATTTTTAAAAAGATGTACATCTTTTTTTTCAAATGAATGCTGAAAATCGTTCATCGAAACTTAAACAGTCCGAGTTCAACATTTATTACAGTTTGCATATAATATGAAGATTAAAAAAAAACTAATTAAAATTACTAGTATTTAATTTTGTTTCTTGATATATATTCTTAATAACACAAAATAATTAACCAATTGCAAAGACGTAACAATTTAATAAGATTTTCTAATCAATTTCAAAGATTGATATGTAATTTTAGAAACAAAAATAAACTCATTTTTTCTTAGTTAAATTCTATTCATAGCAAAATTTATTTATAAACACACATTTTTTTTTTTTTTTTTTTTTTTTTGTATGTTTGTTTTTTTTTTGTTTTGTTTGTTTTTGTTTTTTTTTTTGTTACAGGGAAAATTCGCAAATTACAATTCGGGGAGATAACTCCCGTTTGTTTACGATACTAATTGTCAGTAATTGATCGATGATTTAAGGTCTTACGCAAGGAAATAGCCAATCAAAATGAACTTAGTCAATTGAAGTTCCATATATATAGAGAAATTTTTTTTTTCTTTTTTCATTTTTGGCAATTTGTTTTAGGCCTACAGTATTAAAATTGGACTCATGTACTAGGAATATCATTTCTTTAGCAGAATTATCCCACTGAATTAAAAGGAACTCTTTTTTCAGGTGCGCATGATGCAACTTCCTGGATGGTGTGTAGGCTGTTTGTCAACATGTGAATCCCACGTGCATTTCGGGGTAGGTATGTTTACTGTCGATTTTCTTTCTTAAAAGCCGCATAAGGCATATTTTTTCTGATCTCAAATTTTTGTTTACGCATTAATCTTTATTTTCTCTTTCATGAATTTTCTGCTGAGAGTCTAATAAATTAAATAATTTAATTCAAGTTTTATAGTAATATATAGGGAAATTATTTCCTTGTGTGAGACCTAAAGAGAAACAGGTAACCCTCATTTTCACTAAAATTTCTCTGATTTCAGGAGTTGTCTCCCCTTGAAAAGATCAATAATGGCGGATAAACAATGCGGCATGCAGTCTTGTCACCAACGGACAGTTTTGACACCCGTATACCCATATTTCTACCAAATACCTCTGAAACCTTTGTTGTGTTCATCACACAGGTAAGAAAAACAAGATTTTTAATTCAAATAATTTTAATGAGCTAAATAATAAAGAATATAACATTTTTACATGTACAGACTCTCTCGTATAACAAAATGTCACATTTTACACATACAATAATACATTATTCAAATGTCCACATTTTCCCCATTTACACAGTTGAAAATAATCAATGCATAATGAACCATAAAAACAATTATTACATGTAAGATAGTTCACAAAATATATTTTAAATACAAATTTTATACATTTGAAATGCATGTACATATCATCAATGCCCCCCCCCCCCTTCACAGTCTTACAACTTCCTTTTTAATTTTGGATCTGTTAATGATTTACTGTAAGTGTCTTTAGATTTTTTATCGTACAGCTGATATCTTTTAGATCTGTAGTATTTTCTTTGAAATTTATATTTTAACAGTTTTTGTTTCATTTTAAAGTAATTTTGTCTATTTTGTTGTTGTTTTAGATGATGGACCACTCTACTTCCTTTTACAACAGGTGCCCCTACAGATTCACAAAGTTCTAGTGTTGAGTTTCCATGACCCCTATTCAGTGAGTGTACAACTTTATGTATTCTACTTTCAAAATTTCTACTACTTGTAATACATTTTGGATTTGATTTTAAATATGCCCTATTTACAGATTCAGATTTTTGTGTACAAGTATGATATTTGATTCTATCAAGATTACTTTGTCCTAAAGTCAAATTTATACAGTCTTTTAACAAACATTTGTCTTTTTCTGTCATGTTTAATTCAAAGTCACTAGGCAACACTGAAGATTTCCACTTATTGCTTTTCAGTCCACGACAGGAAAAGGAATAGAGTTGACAGGACTTCCCGCACTGTCCCTGGTAGCAGTTTATGAGGGAACCAACCGCAGTAGACATAGCACGCTTCATCAAAGGTAAGTCGCCGGAGTAGTGTTTGTAGCAATTCTCGTACTCTGTCCTGCATCGAAGCTTCAGGTCCAAGGCAAATCTTCGCTGCATGGATTCTCTTATGGCCTTGGTTCTTTCCGGAAACATGTGACTGCTGAATGGAGCCTTAGCAGTCTGTTTTCTTTGAGAGTCAAAGAAGTGACGCAAGTCCTTAAGGTTTTCAATCACATGTCCTTGTTTTTCAGATGCACCAGATGCAGCGGCACTGTCTCCATCACTGGTAAAATGGGATATGACTAGAGGCCGGTCATCACTCTGTAACTCACCAACACAATTAGCGGCCCATCTCTTCTCGTCTCCAATGGTGGTCTCCGGAGGAATGGTTGCAGTGCAGTCTTCATGTCCTGGGCAGGTAACCTCTTTTCCTTTGCTGCGTAGGTGTGCGCCTTTCTTACATAGTTTATTCCCACAGAAAACTGCTACCACATTCTTCCTCTGAGTTACATTTTCACTTACGGTATACGTCACTTGGGTGGCAGCTTGGAATGGGGTTTTCCCAATGGCACTGAAGGTGGCATTATTGTACCGAGCATCTCCTTCCGCTCTGATGGGGGTATCCGGAAGTCCACATTTTTCATTAAGTTCTTGAATATTCTGCCGAATTTTCTTCATACTTTGTTTATTTACATCGGTTATAATTTTCCCCACTTTGTTGCAGGTCTGTTGCATGTTGGCGGCTGACGCAGGTTCAATATTTGCACCAAGAAGCATACCACGCATACCCTCTGTTGTAAGACTGGTACCCAGGTGACCGACAGCCATGGCCACATTCAGCTGTGCAGCTCTTCGTCCCCTTCCAGATCTTCTCACCTCTTCGTAAAGCTTTTCGCGGTGACTGGTATAGTGGCACTTCTTACATCGAATGGAAAGAATCCATGCCAGGCCTCGTTTTTCCTCTCCATGCTGATTCCAGTCCAGTGGACCATCACAGTCAGGAAACTTTTGTAAGTGTTCTTTGAATGCCTTGTTCCACAATTTAGCAGTCTTTTCTTGGTGAAGTACCTTATATAATTTTGAATTTGGGTCATCTGACACAGATTCCATGTAGGTGTCCACTGGCTGGACCTCACTTGGCCCGGGTCGTAAAAACTTCATCTCGCTGCTTCGGCTCTTGGCATCGATAACTGTAAACACCCCATTTTTCTGTGGCCGTACCATGTCCTGAAACTCTTTTTTACTTAGTCTTCTTATGGGAACTAGAGATTGGACTGGGCTGGTGGTCCCTATTTTCTTCTGGCCTTTGTTGTGAGGAATACTTCCTTTTTTGTATTGATGTTGATGCAACCATTTTGGTCCTTTCTTTGGCATGGTAATTATTTAACTGTATACTTGTAGACTTTTTCTAAGAATATGCTATTGTATGTGGTGCACATTTTTAAGTATTGGAAACTTTTGTGTTGTTTATTTATTTTAGAGCTGCCTGGTCTTCTAAGAGAAACTCCATTCTTTGATGACTGATGGAAAAGCCTCATCACCCCCCACTGCTTAAGAACCCCTTATCTTAATCACCAGCCATTAATCAGTGATCACTGTTATCAAAGCTCCAAGGTACATTATTGAAGTCTCTTTTGAAACCATTTTTTCCAGTCTCTGACTTTGTTTTAGAATTAAGATTTTCACTTTTTTGCTAATTAATTCCTTAAAAATCAGTTAACTTCCTGTTTCTTAGCTAATTAGAGCTCATTAATTAGAGTTGAAATTATTTTTTAGCATATGGCCAAAAACTACAATATTTCAGCTTTCAATTCATTAAATTTTTTTTTCTCAATAATTCACTCATTAAATTTTTTCAAGTTTTGAAATTAATATGCTAAAGATGAATTTGTACAGAAATTTAGCCTAAAATTCAATAATCTGTTAGGAAGAGTTATCTCCTATTTTTCATCCCTTAAGGACAAAGATAAATTTTGACGCACTAGTATATGAAAGATAAATAACTCGGAGACATTTTGTGCAAATTTCATTTAATTTAATTAACTTTTAATTGTCTTAAAGGTCTTACGCAAGGAAATAGCCAATCAAAATGAACTTAGTCAATTGAAGTTCCATATATATAGAGAAATTTTTTTTTTCTTTTTTCATTTTTGGCAATTTGTTTTAGGCCTACAGTATTAAAATTGGACTCATGTACTAGGAATATCATTTCTTTAGCAGAATTATCCCACTGAATTAAAAGGAACTCTTTTTTCAGGTGCGCATGATGCAACTTCCTGGATGGTGTGTAGGCTGTTTGTCAACATGTGAATCCCACGTGCATTTCGGGGTAGGTATGTTTACTGTCGATTTTCTTTCTTAAAAGCCGCATAAGGCATATTTTTTCTGATCTCAAATTTTTGTTTACGCATTAATCTTTATTTTCTCTTTCATGAATTTTCTGCTGAGAGTCTAATAAATTAAATAATTTAATTCAAGTTTTATAGTAATATATAGGGAAATTATTTCCTTGTGTGAGACCTAAACCGCGGCGGGGACAGGTAAGTGATGAATTTCCCGCGGAGGGAACGCGGTTTACCTGTCTACCTGGCCAAATACCGCGTTGTGATTATACCGCGGCGGGGACGCGGGAAATACGGGATCCGCGTTGCCTGTACTGTAGCATATTCAAAACAAAATTTAAAAGTTTAATTCATTATTTATTTACCCAGAATTTAAGTCTTATAATGTTTGTGTGTATATATTACAAGGTCCTGTGCGAGGAATTTTTATTTTGTAAAATCTTATTTATATAAATTTTAACTTTATAAATATTTATGATGAGGATTAAATATTAAAATATGCTTAAAACAGTTCAAACAAAATATTACATGAATGTCATTTTTAAAATCGTTAATTCATAATCCTAATATATTTTGCCATTAAAGATGGAACAAATAAAAAATAATAACTCAATTCTCCCTTTACACTTTCAAACACATTATACAGATCACCCCTGCGACCGATGATAACAAATAAAGTCACCGACAGCCAATTTTGAATTTTAGTACGAAAAATATTCTCCATATTCTTGAGAGTAGAATTATACATATTGTTCAAAATTTCATTCAAAGGTTTTGTGTTCTCTACTTTACATTCAAGAGAAGGATATCAGCAACATTTTTTTGTATTCAAAATTTTTCACCCCTCCCCCCCCCCCCCCCCCCAAAGAAAACAACAACAAAGAAAACTTTCCAGCTAATGCAGAGTTTTATACCTAATCTGAAATAAGGCAAGTCAGAAGAAAAAAAATAGGACTGTAATATTGATATAAATTCAATTTTATCGCAGAAACATGGATCCAAAATGCAACACTTTGTTGTTGTTTTTTTTTTCATTTTATAGACTTTATTTAAGTAACAAAACTTACACTCGGTTTAATCTAACGTAGCAGTCAAGGCGATCAAGAGGCGGATTTAGTTGAACAATGCTTAGCGCTTTCCAGTACTTTCAGTACTTTGATTTAAAAAAGATTTACAAGTAAACTACCGAGCACTGTGGATTTTTTTTTCTGTTTCAATACACATCGTAGAATTGTAGCTTTCCGTATATTATCATTTTAACGATACAATTCGATAACAAGTTCAAATATCATGTGATGTTTTGCCGATATCAAAGATTGACATTTGAAAATACACAGAGGACACAAGAAGGTGACTTTCTTAGGAGAGAATCAGAGTACCGGTAAGAGTTGTTTTAAAATATAATACATTGTAATATGTTAATGCAATGTTTATTCAATTTTATATATTTCCACAATTAAAAAATTCCGCACTATTTCCCGCATAAATTTTAAAATTAAATCCTTTATATAGGTATTGGGCTTTTTCTTCGCTGACATGTAGTGTAGAAATTGCAAAGAAAACAGGCGTTTTTACTCCAACTTTAAAGGCAAATACCGGTACTAAGAAATTGAAGTTTAAAATCTTTATTACATCTAAAACAGGCTTTGTTAAAACAAATGAAAAAAAATTCACCAGCAAGTCTTCATATTGGTGTGATGCAGTTAAAGGTTACAGCAAGGGTTCCAAGTTTTTCCAGGTTTTACCAGCACAGGGAGAGTTTGGGCCATGGCTGCGCTATGACTAGTTATGGGGTCATAGTGCTAGTCATTTACTTACATGTAATTTGGCACCTTGCATTTGCTTGTGACTAGTCCTTTAGTTGGCGATATATTTTCGCTTACTCAGTATTTGGGCAGTGATTTTGCCGCACTGCATTGAATTGCTGACAACAATTTTGCTTATTTGGTCAATACTTTGCCCCCAAGTTATTTGCATATTAATGGTATTTTAGGATCAGTAATGAATTTATTTTAGACATATCGCAGTTCAAAATAAGTTTTTTCTTGGGGAGGGGGTGGTTTACTTAAGTTCTGTCACGCTTTCCTTACTGGTGGCGCAGACCATGTTTGACATGGTCTCGTGGCGGCTATTAGGCTCACCAGTAGGCTTTCGGAACTTATTGTCATTTAATTGAATATTTTGTGTGCATTTTGGACTAGTCACGAAAGGTGAACATCTGTTCCCAAGGTTCCCTTTGCATTTTAAGGGATGCCATTACAAGGCAGAATATTGATGCCTCAGCTCCCTCATTTCAGCGGCCGTGGCCCATTCAGCCAAATAAAATAGTTTTCGAATTTTCCTTTGCTTGTTTTGTCATTGAATGCCACAAAGTAAGTGCGCATTGGGCAATCCCTGTTATTTTCAAGTGTTTTTCATCTTTGATAATGGGATTTAACCAATCAACGTTAAAGCCATTTAGCAAAGTGAAATACATGTACCTTATTTTTTATATTTTTATTTTGATCGGGTTCGGTTGACAGTGTATGTTAGCCAACCCGTATAGAATTATTCCTCTCTTTCCCGGGGTTATTAGTGTTACCCCAATAGTAAATTTGACGTCACACCACGTTGTGTCATCAGTCGAAGCTGAAACTTTCACCCACCCTCCCTATCCATGTCAACCAATAATTGAATTATTTAAATAGGTAAAATGCAAGTGTGCGTTTCTATTTTTTTTTCTAAGTGTAAATAATCCATGGTTTCCTTTGCATTTTTTGAATTGTTTTCCTGCCGTATTTGTATTTTATTTTTTCAGAGTGTTTGTGTAGCTGACTTCAAGTCTATAGAAGAACACCTCGTCACGGTCGCCCTTTTTGTGTAAGCCTTTACCAACAATCAAGGGAACTGCGGCTATTAGGCTCACCAGTAGGCTTTCGGAACTTATTGTCATTTAATTGAATATTTTGTGTGCATTTTGGACTAGTCACGAAAGGTGAACATCTGTTCCCAAGGTTCCCTTTGCATTTTTAGGGATGCCATTACAAGGCAGAATATTGATGCCTCGGCTCCCTCATTTCAGCGGCCGTGGCCCATTCAGCCAAATAAAATAGTTTTCGAATTTTCCTTTGCTTGTTTTGTCATTGAATGTCACAAAGTAAGTGCGCATTTGGGCAATCCCTGTTATTTTCAAGTGTTTTTCATCTTTGATAAATGAAATACAAGTGCAACAAATGGACTTTTGTGAAGACGCTGACTTTTACATTTGACAGTTTACTTTGACATTTAAGGATAACGTTTAGTCAGGTTTTAGAAAACAGAAAGGAAATTTTATAAAGTATAATATGTTCAATCAAAAAATGTTCTATAGACTAAAATAATGAATTTGTAACTCAATATCAATTTAAAAAGTGAATATTTCCTTATATAAAGAAAATAGACAGGAGAAAATATCAATGTTTTGTGAAGCAGAGGAATTCGGTCTAAACTTTTGATTTTTTATTTTGGTCAAATTCATTTTTTTTTCTTGCGGTATTAATCACAATGTTAATGTTACATGTATTTTTAAACATTTTTTTGCAAATATTATGGGTAATAAAGCTAATAAATTATTTCAAATAATTGAATTCTAAATTGTGAACAAAAACCATTCCAGACATTTTATCTTAATAATTTGATCATCGGCTTCATATAATATCAATACCATGAGAATTGCGGCAACAGAAGTAACACGAGGCTATAAAAAAAATTAAAGTCCAAATCATTCAGATTTTTTAAAATTATTCAATTCAAATGGGGAAAAAATATAGATATGAAGGAGGAAATTCGGACGGTTATAATTATTAAGTCTATGGCCCAAACTCTAATCTTTTCATTATATGAAGCAAATCTGGTCTATTGCTATGACATTTCAATTTTGTTGCTTGTTATATTTTTGAGTAAAGAAAAAAATGGTCATAATGGAAAAATTGAATTATTTTCCGAGAAATTCTGAGGATCCGCTAGCATGAAAAATAGGTCATTGACCAAGTTCTTTGAAATTCAAATTTTACACAAGAATCATTCGTGTACAATGTGCAATAGGTGGTTTTTTGTTCTTAGGTGGCAGAAGATAGTTTCCTTTTTTGCAATCAAAACGTTTGACTGACGGTTTACTTTTTAATAATATTAAGCTGCTGTTTAAATGTGCATTGAAAAATTTTTAATTCCCTCTACATATTATAATAGTATGATGTAGTCCCTTGAGGAATTTGAAGCTTTTAGAAATAAAACATGTACAACTTCCACAATGAGCCCTAAAGATGGCGCAGGGACAATCTCAAAATTTCATGTGAATCAAGCCTATTTTCACTACCGGTATTTCGTCGAAAAATCTTTAAAAATTAAAGGGATTAATTTAAATAGCTTTCATTAATAATATAACTTTCACTTTGAATTAAAATAAATTTTATCAGAAATTAACAAGTTTAATTATAAACTTCAATAAAATAGTCCGAATCTAACGAAGTACAACTTGTGGATAATGGATGTTGACATAATGATGATGCAAACTCGCCAGCCTTTAAAACGTAAGTTGTGTATTAATTCTATGGTATTTTCTGCGCTGTTGTTGTTTAACTATTTACTAACTCATATACACACAAGAAAGAAGTATCTACACAAGCTAAGACTGTATTTATTTCAAAACGTTTGATATTGATTACGTTAGATACAACGATTTCAGCTCTTTAGTTAGTGTTTATGGTTTACCGTTTATGGTGCTCTGTAGAGGCTTGTATGTAAGCCCACGTAGGAATGTAAAGGGGTATTTCTATGATTATAATAGAACAAGAAGATGGTTAAACAAGTAGGTGAAATAATACCCAAAAAAAAAACAGCTTAGATTATCATAGTATCTAAATTTTTAAAATTTTATTTCTATTTTATTTTCAATTTATAACATTTCATACATATAAATTTGGCAGATAAATAACAAGCTAGAGATCTAAAGTGCAATTTTATTTTTACATTTTTGTGTCGTATCAACACCCTCAGGACATCAAAACAGAGTTTTCAATAGATAACCCATTTTGATATTATTTTACAAAACTTTATAATATTAAAATATGCGCATGTATTTTTTTATCAATTCAACTCAGAATTGAGTTCTTATGGTCATTTAAGTACATGCTTGCATATTGATGAATTCATTAGCAGAACC